GCCGAGCTACGTCCCCGCTGTGGCTGCCTTGAGGCAGGCTGGGTAGAGCAGCAGATGTGAGACGCAGCCCAGACATGGAGAGTAGCAAGGTGCTTCTGCTCCGCAGTGGCTGGGGTCGGCGAGCTTCCCCTCTCTGGCCCAGTGAGTCTCTCATCCTTTGTTGTAAGCTCAGCTATACATTTAAGAGTATTTTTGTATATAGCTTATCTAACATTTACAGGTGTTTATTGGTGGAAAGGTTGTCGGGTATCTTTTCTGCCAGAGCAGTAAGCTGGCATTTATAATCCATTGGTAAGTGTTACATGGTATCATTCACACAAAAGCTACCTGGCCGGGTGGGAAGACCCTGAGCCCAGCGGGCCTAAGCTCTGGTTCAAGGCGCTGCCTTTCCATTCCTGCGGTCTGGGAGCTCACCCAGATACGGCGCTGTGAGCTCCCTGCCTGTGAGGAGTTCCTTTATCTTCATTATGTCCCTTTTCTTTCTGTTCTGTTCTTTGGAATTTCTTTAGTTTTTTTTTTTAAAGCCATTTATTTATGCTTACAGAACTGGGGTACAGGCCAGAGGTGCAGGGATGGTGAGAGGATTCACCAGAGACAGTGGGGAGCAGAACAGGTCGATTGACAAGAGTACACTGCTGAGGGGAGCAGCAGGCAGGTCAGGAGAGATCTGCTGCACCATGTGGGTCAGCTACGGGGCGGGGGATCGAACTCATGGGGAAGTGGCTTTAGCTTCTCAGTGCTGTGCTTTAACCCACTGCGCCACGAGGGAGGGCCTATATAAAGGCAATACTAACTGTATTGCCTTTACATTCTGTAAACATGACGCGCCAGTGGAGATGTCAGAGGGCAGAGGGAAGCCAGGCCAGGCAGGGTCGGCGGAAACCACAGCTATGTCACCGCCGTTTTGCCTTTCGTGGCAGGAGAGGGACCAGGTGCGGATCGTAGCCACCTCTTCCCTGGGCCACATGCTGCGTCAGGTTAGCAAGTTTAAGTCTGGGTCCACCGTCCGAAGAGAGATCTACACTTTTCTGGTCCCGCTGCTGCTCAGCATCCAGGACACCAACACCGAGGTGGTTAAGGTACCAAGGCCTCTGCGCTCCAGCCCCAGCCCCAGCCTGCTTCAGCATCCTCCTGCCAGAGCCCCGCCCCTTCGCCTTGGCCCCGCCCAGGATCCGGCCACAGCTTGCGTCATCCGCGCCTCTGGTGTCCACCTCTCTGGATTGGCTGGGCACTTCTCTCCCCACTTCGGGGCCTCAGTCTCACCGAGCCTTCTGCTCCTCTGAGTATCTGTGTGCCTTGTCATAAACAGGGTCCCATGTTGCACCCGATTGCTGTCTGCTAACCCCAGCAACCCCGGGGGTCTAGCTTGGGTCTGCCACTTAGCCTCCGGCCTGACTCTGCAGAGTTAGGAGTATGACTTTGGGGGTTCCCTTTGCCTCCACCCCCAGGCCTGTGGTGGAGCCCTGACCGAATGGACCAAGGTGATCGTCTGGTCGTCGCTCACAGAGATATTCAGGCACACCACCCTCAGCGACCACATCCACGTGTTGGAAGAAACGTGCAAGTACCTGGTGAGTGAGCCTGGAGAAGCCAGGTCACAAAGTGCAGGCGAGGGACTCACTGGCAGGAGTGAAACTTTGTACTATCTCTGGTGAATCCTCTCATCACCCCTGCATCTCTGGCTGTGCCCCAGTTCTGTATGCACAGCAGGTGAGGAGCATAAAGGGGGTGGCAGAGACAAGATGGAGCCCTCCTTTCTGGAGTTCTCATTCCTATTCTCAGTAAACTCAGAGCCCTGATCCTCCCTGTCTGATCCTCCTGGCATCCAGCTCTGCCTTCAGGGTTTAGGGAGGTCACACAAGATCAGGAGATGAGTAGGCTGAGGCCCCTGGTGAGGGCTGTAGGGAAGAGCTGTCCCCAGGAGCGGGCAGGGCTTCAGCCAGTCACTGTGGCATTAAGAGTCTGTGGCGCCTTTTTTTTTTTTAAGATTAATTTATGCACACAGGAACTGGGGTACAGGCCAGAGGTGGGGGGTGCTGAGTAGGTTGCGGAACAGGGGGATCTACAGAAACACTGCTGAGGGGAGCAGCGATTGGGACAGGAGTGGTCTGCCACACCATGTGGGTCACCTGTGGGTCCGGGGATGGAGCTGGTGCTGCCGTGGCTACAGATTGCTTCTTAGTGCTGTGCTTTAACCTGTGGTGCCACCAGGGAAGGCCCAAGTCTGTGGCTTTTAGGAAGCCACAGGGCAGTATTAGGAAACATTTGAAAGCTTGTCAACAGTAAACATTTAAAAGCTAAGCAATGGGGCCCTCCCTGGTGGCACAGCAGGTTAAAGGGCAGGACCATGAAACTAGCTGCAGCTGCTTTGGCACAAGTTCGACCCCCAGCCAGGGGGTGACCCACATGGCGCAGCAGACCTCTCCTGTCTTGCCTGCTGCTCCACTTAGCTCAGCATCCAGGACTTTGTCGATCTGCCTGTTCTGCTCCCTGCTCTGTCTCTGGTGAAGCCTCTCATCAGCCCTGCACCTCTGGCTGTGCCCCAGTTCTGTCTGCATAAATAAATAAATCTTTTTTTTTTTTTTAAAGCGAAGCAAGTAGGGTAGCTATCAGTACGAATAATTCTGATGTGATGAATTTTGAGGGTGATTGCCTTACACAAGTAGAACACTACAGTTCACAAACACTTTCAGACCCATTTTCACATTGGAGCGTCACAGTTATGTGAGGGCGGTTGGACAACTTTAACTGCAGCCCTACACAGGAGGAAACTGAAGGCTGTGAGCTTCAAACCTGGGCTTCCTGCTCCACAGTTGAAGCTTTGACAGGCGTCCTGCTGGGTCAGCCTTGTTGCTGGGTGGGCTGCCCGAGCGTACAGGTTCCTGCAGGTGAAGCTGGCCAAAGATGGCCATTCAACTATGGACAGGTGGAGTGGGCGAAAAAGGTCATTAGCAGAGCCCAGTGGCCCCCAGCTCGCGGTCATCGCCACCTGTTTGACTCCACAGGTGGGTACAAACAAATTGCATTTCGTGGGGGAGTTACTGACCCAGAGCTTTGGCTTCCTGAAGAGCCCTCAGTCCTTCCTAAGGTCCGCTGCAGTCAGCTTCATAGGTAAGGCGACCCTGCCCTCCGTCCTCGCTCCCCTGGGGGGCCCTCCTTGCTCAAGTGCTGAAGGGCTAAGTCAGAACAGGGTACCACGAGCAGTTCCCTTGTCTCCGAACTCCCACTAATTACTGAGGATGGCCTGTCCTCAGCCTCAAGTTCTTTGTTGGGCAGTGCCCAGGGGCGAGAGAGGTATGTGCCTTTGCCCCAGCTCTGCTCAGCTGGGCTCCCCCATTTGTCTGCGCTCTGCTTTGTGAGGGAAAAGAATCACACATGTTTGAGACGGGAAAAAATCTATTGCTTCCTCTGGAACCCCATGAATTTTTCAGAATATGTTTTGTTTCAAACTATAACAATAGTAGATGTTCAATTTAGAAAGCGTTAAAAATTCAGACTGGTAAAAAAATGAGAAATGATGCCAGAAATCCCATCACTTGGAATACTCACTGTTAACATTATAGAGTTTTCCTTCCCCCCCCCCGAGAATAAATATATTCCCTCTACCCCCCTCTCCTCCCACCCTCAGATTCTCTCACACATAGCAGTTTTTTCGAATTGCGAAGTTTGGTATGGTATTTTTGCCTTTTGCATCACAACCACATAGATCACATGCTTGTCAACATTAGTTTTACTGGATGTGCAATATTAATTTCGTCGTATGGATGGGTTCATGAAATGAATCAGTCCTTTTTTTCCTGATATGAAGACATTTTTTTAAAGCAAGTACACAGTGGTTAAACCTCTGTACATCATCAGTATGATTTTGTTAATATACATTTTTTAACAAATAGAATTTTTGGGTCCAAATGGAACCGATTTTGTGTTTATTGGCAACCTGGGAATCAGTTCCTATTGCCACCCTCACTGTATGCAGGTATCCACCTTCAGACATGTGCCGGCTCCAGGCAATATTTGAAAAACCATTGCTAACTTGATAGGTAAAAAAAGAGTAGCTTGTTGTTGTGTTCTTATTTTTAAATCAGCAGTGGGGTTAAATATTCTTACTCTTTTTATACATTTACTTTTGCAAATTCGTTGCCTCATGCCAGTTGGTGATCTTTCTGTTGGTATAGGAACCCCATGAAGTTTAACATCCTGAGTTCATGTCCTATTTCTCACCTGCTGACAATATTTTTCTGGGTCACTTCTCCTCTGAGGTTGTTCTTTTACCAGGACAATGATATCCGGGTCCAAGGCATTTCCTAGATACATTCCTTGTTAGAATTGGTTTGCAAATATCCTTGTTCATTACTGAGCCTTCCGGGGCAGCCTGCAGGACTTTATCCCTTTTATACTTAGGATTAACGGTTAAGAGATTAAACCTGAATCTTATCCACGACGATGATGTGCAACTCTTGCGAAATGGTGAGTCTGAGCCCTATACCTCAGTTCTGGGTTGCCCAAGGAAGGGGGGGGGGTGTTGGGACAAGAAAGGAGGATGGGCCATCCTGGTGGCACAAGGGGTTAAGTCTCAGCACTATGAAGCTATCCAAAGCCACTGCAGCACAAGTTCGGTCCCCAGCCAGGGAGCTGACCCACATGGTGCAGCTCCTGTCTTGCTCACTGTTACCCTCAGCACTGGATTTTCCTTGATCTGCCTGTTCTGCTCCCCACTCTGTCTCTGGTGAATCCTCTCATCCCACTCCCCACACGTCTGGCCTGTACCCCCAGCTCTTGTGTGCATAAATAAAATAAATCTTTTTTTTAAAGATTTATTTATTTATTCATACAGAACTGGGGTACAGGCCAGAGATGTGGAGGGTGAGAAGCTTCACCATAGACAGAGTGGGGAGCAGAACAGGCAGATGGATGAAGTACACTGCTGAGGGGAGCAGCGGGCGGGCCAGGAGAGGTCTGCTGGGCCATGTGGATCTCCTCTGGGGCAGGCGGGAGATCGAACTCATGCGGAAGTGGTTTAAGATTCTCAGTGCTGTGCTTTAACCCTCTGTGCCACCAGGGAGGGCCCATAAAATAAATCTCTGCTAACACAGAGGCAGGTGCTATTACTGGTGATGCTAGTGGCGGTCAGGCACTATCCCTGCCTCCTGAAGCACTTGCAGCAGGCTTATGTTCTTTTTAATTGCATTAAAATACCTTCAGATTAATGTATATGTTAAGGACCTATATGACTGTACTCTCTTTGCAAAATAAAAGGACCATAGCAATGAGGACGGGCAAGTTCTGCTAACCCCCAAGTCTTGCTCCTCTCCTACTGCCCTGCCTGGTTGCTCCACAACCCACTGTTTGTTTCTGGACTCACAGGATAGATGTGTGTGTCATAAACACGATGTTACTTATAAGTTTCTGCAACTTGTTCCTCCCCACTTCATGTTAGTGCAAACAGGTCTACTACTTTCCTATACGCTCATGTGTATTTAAGTCGCTTCTCAATTTCTGCTAGACAAACACTGTTCTCTGGGCATTCATATCCTGTTTTGTATGTACAGTGGGAAGTGTTTCTGCAGGCTCAATACCAAAAAGTAGAGTTACGCCATGCATCTTACACTTTTAAACGGAGTTTACAATGCTTTCCCCTTCTCCCCTCGTCTTGATAGTAATTTCGCTCACCATCCCTCCTCACTTCAGGCACTTAGTTGCCAATATTTCAGGGGCCTAACCCTGGAATTTAGATACTTGCATTACTGTTGGTATTTTGTACAAATGCTTTAGATTTCCATACAGAGGTACATGCTCACCGTTCCTTTTTGTGTGTCTGACATCCTTTGAGGATCATTTTTCTTCATCCCGAAGTACAAATTTTACAAGTTTCCTCAACGCGGATTCCTTGAAGGTTATTCTCTCTCCATTTTTGCTTATATGTAATGATTTTTTCTGGCCTCATTCTTGCAAGGAGTTTACTGGTAATGTAATTCTAGACCAACACTTATTTTCTCTCATCGCTTTAAGCACATCAGATTATTCTCTTGTAGCTTTCTTGGTTGCTAGTAAGAAACCTGGTGCTGTTCTAGTGTTTGTTCATTTGCAGACAACCTATTCCTTTTCTGTTTTAAGAAGTATCTTGTCTCTGCTGCTAAGCGACAAGGTGAGGAGCAGCACGGGTGCCCGGGATGCTTAAACACTGGCTTCTGTGGTAACCCTCACTTGCTGTATCCCCCCTGCCTTCTCATTTTGTGTAACTGGGGTCTGCACCCCGGTTCCAGTCACCATTGTGGAATTTCCGGGAAAGTCTGTCCAGACCAGAAACCCTAGACTCCACCTGTATCTCAGGGAATTCATCCCAGAGAGACGGCCAAAACCACAAAGACAGGAGGAAGTTTCTCCTGGAGAGAGTCCTGTAGCCAAGAAAAGATTCTCCACATGGCCTACATCATTTCAGTAGAGCATCAAGCCAACCTTGTTTTCTGCTCTAAGGTAAAGGACAGAACACAAAGAAGCTGTGTAGCACCCACGGGCTTGAAGACCCTTTAACTTTTGATTGGCGAGATTCTTCCAGTTTTCTTTATTCTTTGTATGCTAAGCAATTCCCTGTCTCTACCCACTCTGCTCCCACCTGAATCTACGCTCCCACCTGCCGTTCCCATTTGCTGACGGGACCATTTAAACAACCACAGCACCCCTTTCTCTCCTCCACTCTGTCCTCCCACAGCAGCCGGTCTCCTTAGCTCTGCACACCTGGAACCATATCACCCCTTTATGGGAAACGCATCAGCAACTCTTAGGATAGCCTCTGGCCCCTGACCCCAGGCCACAGAGCCCTGAATGAGCTGGTTTCTCTCCCCGCCCTTCACCTACATCATGGCCCCCTTGGCTGGCAGCAGCAGCTCATTTCGACAACGTGATTCAATCACCTCTCCTCTCATGGAGCTGTTTCTGCCCTGCTCGTCACGAGACCAGCTCTCATTCTTTGGCTCTTAGCTGAAATGTCACCTTTTCAGAGAGGCTGGGTAATCTAAAGGGGCCCTTTCTACCCTTATCCTGCATCACTGTTAAGTCTGTCTTAATTGGTATCATGTATTTACCTTTCTTCCACTGGAATTAAGTTTGAGGGTAGAGAATCGGTTTTGTTCATCACGCATCCCGGGACCTCACTATATGTAGTTGCTGGGCAAATTCACGATGACTCATGTTGATGTCCTCTTTGGAGTTGTTGGGTTCAGAGAGTGGGGTCCTTGGGCTTACGGTGGGAGCTCCCCTTTCACCAGCATCGAGAGTTCCCAGGCTTGTTTCTTGATGACACGGAGACATTCGTTATATCTGACAGGGCAGGTTTATTATAAAAGGGAGAGAGTCAAGAACACCCGCATAGACACTGCAGGCAGGAGGGGCTGCCCCAAGGGGGACAGGTTGACTATGTATGAGGCCTGCTTGGGAGAGCAGCCCCTGCTGAGGGAGCTCAGTGAACAGAAGCCCCGGCAGGCACAGGCCACGGGCAGGCGGGAGGCAGCTGCCCAGTGGAGGGAGAGGGCTGGTGGTGGAAGCAGCTGCATAGGCACTGGCGGGCAGGTGGCTGTTGCCCGGCCTACAGAGCCTGCTCAGATTCAGCCTTCTCTGTGGGAGGGGCTCACTCCTTCAGGAGAGGTTTGCTTTTGCTGACTTTGCCTCGACACCCCCTGCAGCGGCTGACACCTGCTGGGTCTTGTGCTCTGTGATCCAGGCTCCGTGCCTCAGGGGCTTGGTTCCTAGGTTGGGTGAATGAATGGCTATGTCAGTCCCTCCCCACCCACCTCCAGCTCCTGGCATTGGGTGACCAGGCTTCTGACCT